TATATAGAATATCTTATATGGCCAGATGATAATTAAGGTATCATATTCTTTTAATTCTGAGCCTTTGCACTGAGCTAAATCCCCAGTCCTTTTCTATATTTTTATTCTGAGACAGGATCTTGTAATTTTGCTAAATTGCTGAGGCTGGCCTCAGACATGCAGTCCTCCTGCTCAGCTTTCTGAATATCTGAGATCACAAGTGTGCACCAGTATGCCTGGTTTATTTGTATTCTTTTGTTTTAAAGCTCTAATTATTAAAGTAAATAAATTTAGCTAAGCATAATGGCACAAGCTTATAATCCCAGCATTCTGTGTGGATGAGGCAGGAGGGTCAAAAATTTGAGCCCAGGGGCCGGGGAGATGGCTCAGTAGAATAAGCGCTTCCTTGGCAAGCACAAGGGTCTGAGTTCAATCCCTGGTTCCAAAAAAAAGCATGTGATCTATGTAGTAAGACCCTGTAGACCCTTACTAAAAAAATTGATTAATTAATTAATTAAAAAATTGAGCCCAGGCTGGCCAATTTAGAAACTTAAATTAGGCCCCATCTCAAAATAAAATATTGAGTTGGAGATTTGGCGCAGTGCAAAGACCCTAAATTCACTTCATTCCCAGTACTACAAATAACTAATGAACTAAGAACTACACAAATAAGTACTGTTACATTACAAGGAGCATTCCCAATTAAAAATTGACATGAGTGTAAATGGACATTTTTAAAACCAAAAAGTAATTTTGAATGCTCAACAAAATACAGAAAGATATCTGGAAATACAGTGCTGTTAAGAAACATAACTACAGATAGGAATTTTTTTTATTTTCTATTCTGAAAATAGAATAAATGGAAAACATTTGTTACCATAGATGTTACATTATTACTAGTGAAAAGCATCATTTGAAGGATTTTGGTCTTCATTTTTGCTTTCTTTTCAGGTCAGTCCTTCGACTATGCAGACAAGGTGTCTGACTAATGGCACAAAATTAAATTTTGGAGGGCTGCCGGAAGATATTCCGTAGGGAGCGATCAGGCAGCAATTTAAAAATAATTGGCTTAGTGGGCCAGATTTGCTTGAACTTGATGACATATGCAGAAGCTGACATTGATATTTAATTTTTTAGCATGATCTAGGACATTCTGAGGCTGATGAAGGAGAAAATGTAGATGTATTCCAGGCATCTTATATAGGGAACAGCTGTTCAACCCTTTGTCCTTCCAAAATGAGATCAGCTCACAAATACTACTATCTAACCTCATTGTTTTTCCACTTACTGTGTAGTATTTATCTTCCCGTGTCAGTATGCGTACAGTCTTTTTGGAATCTTTGTGTGTATGTTTTTTTTTAATAACATTGCTAAGCCAATTTAATTACCCAGTGATGAACATTTTTCAATTTTTGTTAGTTTGTAACAGTCCTTAAGGGGGCCAATATCAGAGGCTTCTTTTTTATTTTTATTTTTAAAATTTATTCATGTTTTGTTTTTTTGAGACAAGGTCTCCTTATGTAGCACAGGCTGGCCTTGAACTCATGGTAGCTCTCCTGCCTCAGCCTCCCAAGTGCTGGAATCACACCTGGCCCGGAGCCTTCCAGTTCTGAGTCAGGTGATGACTCACAAGCTAAGACCTCAGCTGTTACTTTCTTTTCTCTTTATGGTTCTGATTAAATTCTCCCAGAGCAATGCTTGGAAAAAGTAGATCCCATTATCTGTTTGAGACAAAATGTCCTAATAGTGGTGAGCACAGATTTTGAGTCTTTTTTCAGACAATAAGGGAACAATGTTGAGGGCAATTTGGAAAAAATGAGCTTCTTAATTCTGACACGCAGAAGTTGGCTATGCTACTTAGCATCTTTGAGTCAATTTCTTAACCTTAAAGTAAGGACAGCTGTAAATTGGGACACAAAATATGGTAAGGATTCGGTGACACAGCATGCTTCCAGGTAGCACGCTGTTGCAGTTAGGAACACTTGGCCCCACCCCTCCCACACTTCACCCCAGCCCACAAC